CCCCCCCCCCCCCTTAATCCTCTCCTAAGTGGGCAAAAATCCCTCAATTTGTGGGAAAACGGTTCTGAAAACCGATCAGCTCGTATTTGACGAGTCAAACGTGAAATCTACATTCTGACATGAATTCCACGCTTGAACACAATGTCTGGAAGCTTGAACGTAACATATGTAAGCTCAAACGCAGCTTTTGGAAACTACGTTGGCAGCAATTTATAAGCTGTGTTTGGTAGCGCTTTGGAAGCTGCGTTGGCAGCTCGAAAGCTGCGTATAGCAGCAGTTAGAAGCTGCGGTTGGCAGCATTTTGGAAGCTGCATTGCCAGTTCGGAAGCTGAATTTAGCAGCAGTTAGAAGCTGCATTTGGTAGCGTTTAGGAGCTGTGTTTGCATTGCTTTAACTCTAGAACGAAGCCACTTGCGTTTTAATTTGAAAAGACTGTCAATTTGTAGTCTCTTTCACTAGAGCGTTGCAAAGATCACCATCTTGTGATCTTCATTTTGGCTCTTTGAAAATATGAGAGTCGTTATATTATAACACCCGATATTGATTGTGAAAATTATTTGATTATAACTCCCATCGTTGGTGTTTGATGAGGATCAGCTATATGCAGTATTTTTTAGACAGCCTACAGAACCCTCTCTAAAGTTTTTGAAAATTTATGGTTGACTGGAACAAATTTTTAAAATACTTTGAATACCTAAATTGGTTTGAGATCTATTATTAAATGACGGTTCAGTATATCTATTTTGAATGTATCATGAACCTGATTGTAAAAATTTGTTGTATGTCGCAGTTCCGCTTCCTATATTTAGTGACTTCCTTGAGATCTTCTCTAGTAAGGATTAAACTCACACTTCCGACGAGTGCGTGGAATTAGTTAAGGTAGTCCTGATCTCCTTAAACCAAACAAGATAACTTTTGTGTCTTGATGATAATGAACTTAGTCAAACAAGCTAAAGCCCAAGTCATCTCAGCCGATGTAACATGAGCGATAGCAATAACGAATTTTCTTAGATCCTTGAGATACTCCTTTAACTTGTATGAAGGTATATTTAGTGTCGATAGCAACAGCAAAGACATTCTCATATGTATTGATGAACATGTGAGGTGCAGCTGCAAGAGTTAGATAAGAAAGAGCCAATGACAGCAAAGAAACTATAGAAACACCAACTACAAACTTGCCAACGATGTCATCCTCAATGAGGTTGAGCACCTCTGGGCTAAAGATAGATCTATTGTCATCGACATAGAGAACCACAAGCTCGTATGAAAAGGACCTTATCTCAAGTTTGGTAAGGAGGGTAGCCTCAGAGGAACCCACTTTGTTAATTTTGGTTGGAATGTTAAGCCTTTTGAAATGTTAATTTTGGTTGGAATGTTAAGCCTTTTGAAAATATGAGTCACGTGAAGGGTCGAGCTTGATGATGTTAGCGATATCAATTATAATCTGTCTATACTCATCCAAGAGGCTGCAGAGCTTCTTGTTGTAAATTAGTTTCTTCTCGGCTTTCATCATATTGATGGCTATTGCTAGCTTCTCTCCAAGTATCTGAAGATGTATAATAGCCCTGTTGGTTATGGTGAATCAGCGCGTAAGTGGAACCTGCGTTCTTGAAATTGAAATCTGTAGAAAACCCTACGTTTTTTTATTCTGAGACGCAGCAATAAGCGTACGGGAGTTCAACCGACTCAATGTGAACGCACTGATTGCGTTTGGGCGGGATTTTCTCCTCAAATCTCGTTCTGATTTGATAGCCCACCGCTATGTATAAATAGACTGTTAGGGTTATATCAAAAGTCATTCGACTTTCCGCTGCTGTTCATCTTTTCCAACGAAGCCAACGAGGATTTTCGTTTCAATCTGCAGCGATTCCCATTCATCTTCTTCAACAAAATTGAGATGGCTCCTAAGAAGAAAATCACTTCCAAATCGAAAGTCGTTCTTTCTTAGGGTGCACCGTCGGCCAAGACTGTCGGTGATGCTCAGGCGACCGTGCCGCCGTCATAGGCTCCTTCAGTCAATGGTAGGCTTGGATGATTTTAACTTGTTTTGGCAAGTTTTATACCATTAACGCTTCATGAAAACTCACGTTCCGTCATTAAAACACAGAGATTATCCTTAGTGTTTCTTAATTAAGAACGCGGGTCTAGATCTTGCGTTTGGAATTTAGAGCACGGGTTGAGAACCTGCATTTTGAAATTTAGAACACATGCCTAGACCCTGTGTTTTGCATTTAGAACGCGGTTTTGGAACTTGCGTTTCAAATTTATAACGCAGGTCTGGAACCTGCATTTTGAAATTACAATGCAGGTCTAGACCCTGTGTTTTGAAATTTACAACGCAAGTCCAGACCCTGCATTTTGAAATCAGGTCTTTTCAGATTTATCATTAGTTTCACACTAACTGGTCATTTCTTCACTTTGTAGTGCATTATTCCAGCGAGCCTCTTTCCTTCAATCATTACTTCGGTCATGCAGAAAGTATAGAGAAGAATAAACTCATTAGTTTCCGTTTAGAGTATCCTATATTCTAGGATACTAACAAAGAAAGGGCTAAACTTATCACCCAAGCTTCTCCTGAAACCCTCAGATCTCTGATTACAGATGCCAAGTTTGAGACAGCTGAGCGTAAAGTTTTAAAGAAACCAGCCTTCCTTTTCGGAGATTCTGTTGACATGGACCCTAAGCGGATGTTTGAAGGGAATTACAAGTGGCTGCGGGCTGTTAATGATCGTCGCCTTTTTTTGCCAAATCTGGAGCGGATGTGGCCGATCTCTTATTATCAACGTGCTTCCGTTCTGTGATCTATTGATTGGGAACTTGTCCAAGAATAATGTGGTGTTGCTTCTGGCCATCTTACTCATCATGGTGTTCAACCAACTAGCTTCAATTACTTTATGCCTTTGAAACCTGGCTCGGTTAACTTGGAACATCCTGTTGGTGAGCCTACTAAATTGGCGAACACATTCATCAGAAAATTTATCTCTGTACAAGGGGAGTTCTCCGCTCAAGACTTTAGAGCTCCGACATGGGTTCATTCTAGCGAGACAGAATAGTGGGCTCGGATGGTAAATTTTGTCCTAGAGGAATTAGAGGAGCCTCTTAGGATCTCTGACCTAAGAACCCCGATATTAGCTACTCGATACGGGATTTCTCCAAACTATAGTGGCCTTTTCGCCATGCTGGAGTTCTACAACCCTCATATCGGCACCTTTTTCACTCCTGTTGGTGAATTAGGTTTTGCACTCTACGAGATGCTTGAGGTCTTAGGGCTATCCTTCGGAGAATTACCCTATGAAGAGTTTGTTCATGGGAGTGAAGAGTTGAGGATTTTGAAAAATGTCGCTTCGGCAAATATATGTGATGCGGCATAAAGATGTACCAAAAAGGTTGCAAGTGCACAACCGTGTCAAGTTATAGTATTTAAGATATCGATCCCACGAGGAAGGTGTTTTGTAGGAGAAAATATGAAATCGGTTCTTATGTTGTGTGCGTGACAAGTAGGAATGATAAGTGAATGTGATTGTGGAGAGAATGATTGAGATAGTGAAAATGGTGTGTAAATAGGTGCAAAGTGTAAGTGAGAGTGGATTTGAAAAAAAAATGAGTATGATCAATAAGGTGAGAAAGAAAAATGAATAATATCAAGAAACAAATAAAAAATCAAGAATGAAGAACAAAATTCTAGAATAAAAGAAAATGCAAGAAATTAAAGATGGTGGATTCAATTATAGATATGGATAATCTAAAATTGAACCTACTTCTTAGAAAAGAGTGATTCCCTAGAGGGTTCTAGCCTAAAGGTGAATCAAACAAAATAAAAATAAATCAAAAGAAAAACTAAACCCAAGAGGGTTCTAGCCTCAAGGTGAATAGTGCAAAAAATTAAAATCTAACTACAAAATAAATTACAAAATCTAAACTAAAGAATTAAATTGCAAGAATTAAATGCAAGAAAATAAATCTATTCTATAAGCATGAAATAAATCTAAGGCAAGAGGGTTCTAGCCTCTTGGCTATTTAACAAGAAAATAAAATCTAAACTACAAGCATAGAAATAAATCTAAACTAATAAGAAATAAAAGAGAAAAAGAAAAGAAATGCAAACCTTCAAATAATTCTCCATCTTCATCTTCATCTTCATCATCCAACAAAGAGAAGAAGAAAAAAATTTAAAGTGGTGAAAAAATTATTATTATTAATTGCAACTAAAGTTACAATTTTGGAAGGCCTTCTCAATTAAGAGTAGCCCTCCTCTCCAAAAGGAGTTACAAAAATTTTCACATCCTTAACCCCTCACTCTCTACCCCTATTTATAGTAATCTTCAATGAATATGAGCCATTGGATTTGTCTTGAGCCCCAAGCATCAATTTCCATCTTTGAATTTGTTTTTTTTTTTTGTTCTTCTCTAGCCCAATCTTCATTTGATTTTCCAAGGCCCAATCTTCAATTGATTTTCCAAATTAAATCTGCAGCCCACACCATTATATCCGGTCCACTTGAATTTCCATTTGATTTTCAAAACAAGCAACTCGGCCTATTTGTTTGCAACCGGCCCATTGATTCATTTGATTTTAAAAAATGGAAATCCGGCAGCATCAGTTCGGTCTCAAGAAGTTGGTCCGGTCATGTCCTTGAAGTCCAGCACCGAATTCTATCTTCATTGAGAAAAAATGTAACATGCTTTAGGTCCGGCCCAAGTGAAGTCCAATTCCAATGCATTTGATTTTCACAATTAAATCTCTGCAGCCCACCTTGTTTCATTTGATTTTCAAAGTAACATCCAAGTCCGGTCCATCTTCTTTTATAAAACAAAGCCCGTGCATTTCTTTCTTTTGATTTTCACAACAAAGCTAAGTCCGGCCCACATATTTTCATTTTGTGAAAATCCAAGTTCAAAAGTCCAAGCAAGCCCACTTCCAAATCTCTGCAGAAGTCCGGCCTTTTTTTTAAATCAAAGCAAATGTGATCTTTTGCATCCAAGTCCATTTTATTCCAACTTTTTGCATCCAAATCCATTCCATTGCTTTTCTTGGTGTATTTTTTTGATGGGCTTTGCTCTTTGGGCTTCAATCATTTTCCTCTTTTAAGCTTTTTCTTCATGGGCTTCTAAAATGCTACAAAATAAAGAAGAGAGATTTTTAGGAGTTTGTATATTTAATAATATTTATTTATATTTTCATTCAATTATGTGCAAACTAAACTAATAACACTTATTAATGGTATATTTATTCATGTAAAATAGATAATGAGGGTATAAAATTATAATAAAATATGATTATCAAATACCCCCACACCTAAACTTTTGCTAGTCCTCTAGCAAAGAAAGAAAAAGAAAATCTAACTCACTTTCGCAGGAATCGCGGTTGTATTTAGCGTATACAACAAGCCTTTAAACCCCTAGGTTACCCTAGTGGATGAGTTGTAGTCTCGTGAGGGTTTGCAGTGAATATACCCACAAAATTCGGTCAACTTGCCAAATTAAAGAAGTCAATAAATAACTAAATTCACTTGATAACTTTTAGATAATCTAATTAGAGCCAGTTATCACTCAAGAAAATATTTTTATAACTCTAAGGTATATTTTCAAGAAAATCTTCTCATTGTAGCAATACAAAACCAAACCAAACTTAGAAATTTAATTTAAAAGTTTTGAAAAGAACATGCTAACTCTTTGTTCTAAATAATTTTCAAGTTGCTTGATTTAAAATATTTTCCAAGACCATATATACAACTTTTATTAGTTTTTTTTTAATTTTTTTTAACTCTTTCTTTCTTGGTGATTTTTGTCTACTTTAACGGGCTTTCTAAGTGACCATTTAACGAGTTTTGGGCCAATGGATCCCAACCCAACTGGGCTTAGGTCATTAAGTATGGAAATACTCCTTGGGCTTAATTACTCGGTCAGCTTAGGCTTTATAAGATAGAATCACATTGAATTTAAGATTTCGCACTCTTCTTTTGTAATTTTTTTTGTATATGTATATATATTTTGAAAATATGTAAATCCAAGACACTTTGAAAAATTATTTTCAACTCTAAGTTAAGCATGCAAAAATTTTATTATTTTAAATAAAAATCCAAGTTAAGGCTTAAGTAAAGTATACTACTTTGAAAATCATTTCTTAAGAAATTTATTTAGAGTTATCATAAAAAGTGAACTTAAGTAAATAACCAACTAGGGATTAGAAAATTTTAAATTTATCAAATAAATTAATTATTACATAACTCTATCAATTTGGCAAGTGACGATATTTTTATAAAATTGTTTTAAAGAAAAAGGGGAAAATGTAACTAAAAATATAAAATAAAGAAAAAAAATAACTAATTCTCACCCCCACACCTAAATTTTGTATTATCCTCAATGCAAACTCTATGATGCATAAAGTAAAGCAGATAAGAAGTGAAGCACTTACATTTGGTCGGCTGATAAAAATCTGCAATTACCTTTGGTCTGAGGAAGAGGAAATCAAACATTTATTCTTTTCTTGTTTTTTTTCTTTTTTTCTTCTTTTTTTTCTTTTTTTTCTTTTTTTTTCTTTTTTTTTGGACAACTGAACAAGAAACTCTCAAATGAGAGAAGAATAAATTCTTTTTATTATTCTTAAATAAACAAAATAAACAATGTAGAATAAAATATTCAACATGAATAGTTTCTGTTCTACATTGAATCCTACCTTACTGTTAAAAATTCTTCCCCAGATTTTAAACAAATTCAGAATGATATAATCAATAATGTGAATTTCTAAGTATTTCGGGGTGTTCAGTAATTCTTGCAACAAAGTAAGGTAGATATTATTGGTGTCATGCATTTTGCATTTCTTAATGAACTTAGACTCTTGTACTGTGAAGTTTTGTTTTCTAACAACCAATTCTTCTGTGAAGTTCTGAAAATTTGGTTGTTGATTATTCTCCAAGAATCTAAGTTCATCAAGAAAGAGTTCTTCAAAATTTAATTCAAAGCAGCAAATGTTTAACACAGTTTTATTATTCTCAAGGACCTGATCTGCTTCTTCTAAAAACTCTAACTCTTCATCAAAAATTTCCTCAAAACTTAAATCACACTCTTCTTCTTCTTCTTCTTCTTCTGATCTTTCCTGAATGTAGTTTATTTCTAGAGGCTGATTATTTGGTTGGTCCCCTGGATTAAAAATGTTGAGATCAGCAGTCAAATTCCCAAAGGACAGCTTCATTTGACCAGTTCTACAGTTGATGAGAGCATTAGAAGTGGCTAAGAACGGTCGTCCTAAGATGACAGGTGTCTGTCCTTTGGGATTGGAAACAGGCTGTGTTTCCAAGACTACAAAATCTACTGGAAAAATAAAATCTCCAACCTTAATCAGAACATCCTCTAACTCACCCATAGGGACCTTAACAGATCTATCAGCCAACTGTAAGGTGCATTTGGTTGGGTTCAGTACACCTAGACCCAATTGCTGATAGACTGAATATGGAAGCAAATTGACACTGGCCCCTAAGTCTAAAAGCGCCTTATCAATGTGAGTATTACCAATGATACATGAAATGATGGGGGAACCTGGATCTTTACGTTTCAAAGGTATGGGATTTGATAGCATTTCACTGATATTGGCGGCTAAAAAGACTTTCTTTGGGACATTTATTCTCCTCTTCTTAGTGCACAATTCTTTTAAAAATTTAGCATAAGATGGAATTTGTTCAATTACATCTAAGAGAGGAATATTGACCTTAACCTGCTTGAATGTTTCTAGGATTTTCTCCTCCTGAGGAGAGTGTTTCCTAGACCTGAGTCTATCTGGAAAGGGAGCAACCGGTCTAAACCTATCAAAAGCAGGCTCAGGTTCGGGTTCAGGATCTTGGTCATCTGCAGGGAGTGATTGTTGAATAGATTCATCAGAAGGAGAAGGTGAAGGAATTTGTACAGGATCAAGAGTTTGACTTGGAGGAGTTCTCACTTGATTATCGACCTGTCTACCTGACCGAAGTGAATGGATTGCATTCACTTGGGCTTCGTAGGATGAACTGCATTCTGTGTTATTAGGGTTAACCACGGGTTGACTTGGAAATTTTCCTTTCTCTCTTTCACTCACGGCACTAGCTAGTTGACCAAGTTGGGATTCTAATCTAGCTATAGCTTGAGTGTTGGAGTTGAGCATTTGTCCGGTTGATTGCATGAAGGAATTCAGCGTGCTAGATGTTTGAGTCAACATATTCGTGGTTTGAGTAGAGGCCTTAATTATGGTTTCTAAACCCCTTTCCAAGACATTGAGACGTTTCTCCTGATCTGGATTGTGAGGAGTCTGAATTACAGCTTGATGAAGAGGAGATTGATTTTGATACGGCAGACTGATCTGGATTGTGAGGAGTCTGAATTACAGCTTGATGAAGAGGAGATTGATTTTGATACGGCAGATTAGGTTGTGGATGAGAATTGAAAGGAACCGTGTTTCCCCTAGGAAATTGTTGGGTCGAAGCGGGAGTGAAGTATTGAGTTCCGGGAGAATTTCCTTGATTCCATGCAAAATTGGGATGATTTCTCCAACCTGGATTGTAGGTTGGAGAAAATGGATCATTTCTAAGATGTTGGAATGCAGCGTTCATCTGTTCTAATGTATTCTATTTCGGGACTTGATTCTGTATCACCAGGTGGCCATCGAGATGGCAAGCTCGTTTGAAGATTTTTTTTTTCATCGAGTACGTTCCACGTATCCAAAATACATATGCAGACGCATTGGCGGCATTGTCAGTATCTCTGGCTCAGCCTCCCGAAACAGAATAATTAATTACGGTGAGAACTCACCAGCTTATTATTCCCATCTACGATTCAATTGCCAAAGAAGCCTACTCAACAAGGGTTGAACCAGAAACTCGAGATTGGCGTTTTCCTATCATCGATTATGTCTTACACGGTATTTTACCTGAAGATGTAAAAGAAAGGGATTCGATTCGGCGAAGAGCACCAAGATTTTATTACAACGCTACGACACAAATGTTGTATCGACGTTCGTATGATGGTTTATTACTTCGTTGCCTATCTAATAGAGAAGCGGAAGAAGCTCTCAAAGAGGCGCACGATGGTACATGTGGTGCGCATCAGCCCGGTCCCAAACTCTGTGATCGACTTCGAAGGATATGATACTATTGGCCTACCATGGTAAAAGATGCAGTAGATTATGCCCGGCGGTGTCAAGTGTGTCAATTACATGCAAATTATATGCACCAGCCTCCTGAACATTTACACCCATCGGCGACATCGTGGCCATTCGAAACTTAGGGAATGGATATTGTAGGTCCTATTTTCCCGCCTTCGGTTAAAGGAGACCGTTTTATTCTGGCAATCACCGATTATTTCTCAAAATGGGCAGAAGCAGTTCCACTTAAAGAGGTAAAGATGAGTGATGTTATCAAGTTCATTAAACACCACATCATATATCGGTATGGTGTCCCAAGGCGAATAGTGCACGATAATGGTCCTTAATTCGTTAGCAATGCATTTATCAAATTTTGCGGCAAATTTAGGATTAAGGACGTTTCATCATTTGCTTATAATCCCACAGCTAACAGGTTGGCCGAAGCTTTTAACAAGACTATTATCAAGATCTTGGCAAAACTTGTGAAAACCAATAAGCGAGATTGGGACGACAAGCTCGGCGAAGCCCTGTGGGCTTATCGTACAACTGTCCTCACGCCAACGGGAGCAACCCCATACTCCTTAACATATGGATGCGAAACTGTTCTACCTTTAGAAATACAAATTCCTTCTCTCCGCATCGCTCTCACAACGAGAATGACGACGGAAGAAAATCACCAGAAACGTCTCGAAGAATTAGAGATGTTAGATGAAAAACGCTTGGAAGCTCAACAACAAATCGAATTTTATCAGGCTAGAATTTCTCGGGCTTTCGATAAAAAGGTCCGACGACGAAGTTTTAAAGAAGGAGATCTGGTTCTTGCCGTTCGAAGGCCTATGATTCTCAATTCTAAGAAGAAAGGAAAATTCCAACCGTAATGGGAAGGGTCGTTCGTAATAGAAACAGTCTATTCAAACGGTGTGTATCGCCTGATTACCCAGGATGGTAATAAATTAATGATGCCAATAAACGAGAAGTTCCTAAAAAATATTATCCGTAATATGTTCAGGATAACTTATGCAAAACGGGAAGTTCCTAGAGAATCCTGTATAGGATATTTTGGGATAACCCGAGATCAGTTGATTGTTCTAAATAAGAAACTGATCATTTGAATAATCCATTCTTGATTATTATAAAATTCTTTTACGGCTTTTGGTGAGATGAGATTCAAATCTGTAAACAGTTAATCTTTCCTCACAAAAAAATTCTTTTACGGCTTTTGGTGAGATGAGATTCAAATCTGTAAACAGTTAATCTTTCCTCACAAAACCCCTCACCGATCAAATGATGAGATTCAAATCTGTAAACAGTTAATCTTTCCTCACAAAACCCCTCACCGATCAAATCGATCGACGGAGGGTCCACCGAAATCCGTCATGGATTAAAATCTTTCAAACTCCAATTATATCTATTTTCTAACATTCCCAATGCTGAAATTAGGATACAATATCAAAATTCAAGTTAGCGGTCTATATCAGTTGCCGAATCACTTCATGTCAAATTCTTGTATTTGACATCAAAAAAAATTCTCACTGAGTAATTTCTACAAATCAACAAACACATTGTTATTTGTTCCCCGTTCCTGTTTCTACTTGGTCAAACCTTATTACAGTTAGGACCAAAACCAAAATCCCCTCTTGATTCCTTCCATGAACAAGAGATCCACGAGTTGAACAATCAAATTGGTAAACAATTAGGATCGTCCTCAAACTCCCACTTGGTCAAACCTTACTACAGTTAGGACCACAGCCAAAATCTCCTTTCGATTCATTTCACGAATGAGAGGTCTACTTTTGAATTGAATAATCAAACCTTATGACAGTTAGGATTATTCAAACCAATCCAGATTCTCTAAGTGGAGATCCCACTTTGACTGGTTTATCTTTACCAACAAACAAGAGACCAGGAGATAGAATATAAAATTCTTCCTCTCCGATTTTGGGTTCATCTCTACCAACAAACAAGAGACCAGGAGATAGAATATAAAATTCTTCCTCTTCGATTTTGGATTCATCTCTACCAACAAACAAGAGATCGGGAGATAGAATATAAAATTCTTCCTCTCCGATTTTGGGTTCATCTCTACTAACAAACAAGAGATTGAAAGATAGAATACTCAATTCTTTCTTTATAATCTTAGGTTCATTTTCCTGCATGGGAAATGTAACCTGTTTACATTTCAAAATCCATGTTGTTCATGCATGGGGGATGTTATCTCTATCCCTTATTAGAGATAAGCCTACATCTAACACATGTAGCCTACATATTCAATATTATAGTTTAAAGTCTAAAAGAGTCTAATTCTTTTAGCCTAACGTTATATGTGAAACGGAGTTAGATAATTCACATACTAGCCCGACTCAAACGGTAGTCGGTAAAGGCATATCAAATCCGTTGATGGCTGAGGATTTGTTAAAAATCCTATAAGTATTATGGTTATTTATTCTAAACAAGAACGAGTAATCATAATAAAATATCAATGAGCAAAAGAGATCATTATATTGATCAAAAGCGTTCAAACAAAACTACAAAAATATATGTTCTCAAATTACAAAAGCTTATAGTGACGAATTTGATCTTCAAGTTTTGAAAGCTCTATCACATAAGCCTATTCGAGTTCAGCTATTAAGCTAGCTTTGAAATTTCCTTCGTCAATACTTTGAAGTTTGATAACCTCTTGCTCCTTTTCAATGAGTATTTGATCCTAAAGATTCAGCTGTTGGGATAGATTAGACTCGGTGCGAATCAACGCTTCCAAATCGGACTTCAAAGCTTCCTGAGCATCTTCGGCCTTCATAAGTTGTTCCTTCAAGCGGTCTATCTCAGCTTGACCCGACTCTAGATTCCGATGCAAGTCAATCTTGGCTTGTACCTTCTTGGCAATACTTACCCTAATCTGCTTAACACGGGTCCTTAATTTTTGAAGTTCGGACTCAGCTGATTTCTGAGAATCCTGCCACGCCTGCAGCCTTAAGTCCATTTGAGATGCAATATAAGATGACACGCCATTAACACGAAGATCCCTCAAATGTTCGACATTCTGTTGAAGGTCGATTAAATAAGCTTCGATCAAATCGGCCAACTCAGCGTATCCGTCCTCTCTGATTCCTAGGACATGGCGATCGAGAGATCTTTTAAAGTTCTCGAAAGGGGATCCTTTGAGGATGACTCGATCGACGATAATATTCAAGAAGAAGATAAAACCCTGAAGATCAGAGCAAATAACAGCCTTGTCCGGATCTTCATCTGCCAATAAAGCTTGGATATGATTGGACAATGGTAAAGGGGAAGCTGCAATGAGAACAGACAAGGTCAATATAATATGCATGTGAGCATACATAGCAATGAACAGGACTATCCCAAATTCAACAGGAAATTCTATGGCTTGATTACCTTGACTTGTCGACGCTGGGACATGCTCCACAACAACCGAAGTTTGTTCAGAAATAATGCTTGGCGGTGGATTCGCTACATCAGACTGTTGTTCAATTGCAGCTTCTGATGGCTTCAGGTCCGGATTGATAGATCCCTTAGAGGTAGATTCTACAAAAGGGATAGGATGAATAAAAAAAATTTCCGAAAGTATGAATCCAACTACTAAACACATTAAAGATGAGACGGACCAAGTTGAGTAGAAGTTGCAGTAAGTTGCTCTTCCGCGGTGGCCTTCGACACTCCAACTTCATGAACAATTGGAGTCGGATCAGAAATTGCAACAAGCTCAGTCTCGGCAGTGTCAGAAGTCGGAGGAACAATAGATGATGGTTCATTGTCAGCCGGGGGACCTGTTAAGAGCAGGAAACCTAAGCCTTCAGGTTGGTCGGATACACCGATGATAGTAGACGTATCAACTTCAATGTAAGCCTTCAGGTTGGTCGGATACACCGATGATAGTAGACGTATCAACTTCAATGGTTGGTCCTACGACTGAAATTCTTATTTAATTATTAAAATGGGTCCTACGACTGAAATTCTTATTTAATTATTAAAATGAGAAACAAAAGGTTAATTGAAGACCTAAGTTTGAAAAAATACATACCTTCTGATGTACCTACTTCAGTAGAACTAGCTCCAGTAGTTGGTCCTGCAGTAGCAGTTAGATCTTGACCTGACAGCAGGTCGGAGATGCATTGATGATCATCTTTGAAGATATCGAGATTGAAATCATGTTCATTGAAGTCTCCAATCCCCACATCATGAGTAACTTCATGGTCTCCTGGCTCATTGGCAGGAACATCTATTAAACAGAAAGACCCGTCAGTACATACATAAGAGTATGAAGGAATCAAAGCAAATAAAACTAAGGTTACCTTCAATGATAGTTGTGGGATCGGCAGCGCTACTACTCGCATCCACCTCCTTTAGTTTAACTAAAAGAAGATAAAGCGCACAAGTTAGTAGAAGAGAAACATGTTCTGATTCACTTATTTTCCGAAAGTGCCCTCCAAATGAGAAAGCATTTGTACATGTCTCAGTGGTTGGCAAGGTTGATGCGATAACTGGAGGAGCGGTGGTATCCATACCGATGGGTTCTTCACCCATCGCTCTATGTACTTGTTGAGTGAAGCTTGGTTCATCAACATTCATCAAGCCAGGGGAGGAAGGCTCGGACATAATTTCTCCTTCTTCTTCTGGCTCACCTGCGACGGCCAAAGAATAAATAAGATTTTATATTTGAAAATAAGATAGTGAAAAAGAGATGAAAATGAGATTTTACCTCCCTCGTCAACCGGAGGATCTTGGGTAAACTCCTCTTCGAACAATGGGGGAGGTTTACATTATCGATGGGCAGTCTTCTTAATCCTCTTCGATACGCGGGTATCTCTGGGAACCTCAGAACTTTCATGATGAAACTTCGTACGCCATTTGTTGGGATTCCCAACATATAATTGGTCGTAGCCGAATTTTCGCGCAAATCGACAAGGAAAATAAGGCTCGATTCTGCATATGTTTCTCGACCGGAAAACATTGTAGCCTGGTCAAATGTTCATAAGCCAATGGAAGCTACCCATGTTGAGAGAAGTCCTTCTAGCTCCAGGCATTTTCTCATCAATGAGCATGTCACTATGTGCACCAGGAAATCGGGGAAAACATGTATAAAACTTCCAACACTTAGCGTTCTT